GTTTAAATATTAATAGTTAAAACCTCTTTACCGGCATTAAAGACGCTGAAGTCATGACTTGTAAAATATCACGAGCTATTTTTAACAAAAATTAGAACAATTCGGCCGCGTTTATATACTTTTCGAGTTAATGAAATTGAATTAAAACCTAGCAGTTTGAGTTTTTTATGCAATTCAAGCGTATTCAATTCACTAAAAATCCTCGTTTATGTAAACTTTTTGAGTCCATAATTTCATTTTTTTGAGGACTGCATGAAATCTTTTAAAATTTATTTAAAATGTATCATGCCTATTAAGATTTTATGTCATATAATTTAATATTATGCAATTGCGGTACATTATGGAATCGTAACTTTAGTTTTAATTTCCAGTTCTTAAAATGGTATTTTAAAGTGAAGACTTTTTACAATCATTATTTTTAGTATTGCAAAGAAATTTAGACAATAGAATATTTGTCAAAGAAATAAAAGAAAAAAGAGTTGATACAACCATCATATATATTTATTTTTTAACTTTACTTATTAAGTGGAAAATCTTATAATTTTGAAAGAGAAAAAAAACATGTTTTACAGGAAATTTATTGTTTTGCACGCTTTGCAGTGGCTTAGCTAGGTATTGGCATATGGGCAGTTGCCAAATATGCTGAATATGCATCAAAACAATACGGCGTTAATTTTTATTCAAAAATCTCCCGATTACCAGTTTGCGTGTGTTTTTAAACTATAAGACATAATAAGTAAAAACCATGAAAAAATAACTATAAAATTTTAATAGACTAATCAATATCGAATGTTTTCTGCGAGTGCTTTCTACCGGTACAGGGATTTTGCACTAAACTTGAGAATTTGATTTATAAGAAAACAAAGCGTATGGATTATAGGTCTATATACCTCCTATATAAATCCTACCATTTTTTTAATATACTTTGTTATTAAACTCTCACATTGATAACATAATATCAAATTATATTACGAAAAAAATATTACAAAACATGGACACACCAATTATAATTATACTCTTGAATAAAACTAAATTATTGAAAAACTAAAAACCAGTAAAGGTGTGTAAAAGTTTTAAACAATTTTTGACTAATAATTATTACATATCATTGAAAAGAGGCTAAATTTAGCATTACAATAGTGAAAACTTTATAACAAAATAAAAGCTCTACAAAAAGTTATGCTCAAGTAACAAAATTTGATTACAAGTATTGCTTTCAGATTTGGCTAACGATAGTTTTGTTATGGAACTTAGAAGCGCAATATTTTGCTTTATTACAATATTTTAACGTTGGCACGTATTTTGCTACAAAAATTTAGAAATTTGCTACATAATCTTTTTTAGTAAAATTTGGCATACACGTAGAAAATAAGTTTTTAAACTTTTTTCTCAATAGTTTCAAAAATGCTCTCAACATTCCTTCAATATAAATTTGATGTTTGATCAACAACAAAGTTTTTAAAAAAAAAAAAAAACTCAAATTAGGCGGTTGTAATTACAAAAAAAAATTATAAAAAAATGAAGTTTAACTCTTTCCTTTTTTAAAAAAGTCTATCTAAAAAAATAACACAACAAAATACATCCTTACAACTCAAACGCTAAGCACGCTTTGATGGGTCGAAGATTTTGATTACATAACCGGTGCCATTTCATTGGATACGCACGTACTACGTAATATGTAAAATAATTTTTTTAACTTAAAATTTTATGAAAAATCAACATTAAACAATCTTCAAAAATAATTTAAAGAATTTATGAAATATAAGTAATTTAATTAGGAAATAAAATTAAATTAAAATTCTTTTTAGAACTTGCTGTTAAGAAAAATATTTTAAATTGGCTTGAAGTCAAAGGTTCTTTAATGACGTTGCAGGAAGGTAACAACAACAACAACAATAACAATATATTTCGTGTTACAGATGTTACAAAAACACAGGTCATTGCAAATTGTGATTCACTTATAAAGCGCAATGACCTAAATAAAATATAATAAAAATAACATTAATAATAACATGTAATAAGTAAAACCACATAAAAAAGTAGTTTATAAAAGGAAGTTAAGTTAAATAAGTTAATATAATATTAACTAATAAAAGTAAAATTGCATAAAAATTTATATAATTATACCAAAAAATCAGACTTTTTGAATATATATAACATAATTAATATAATGTGCATTTACATATGCACATATACTTAAACAAGAATTATAATAAAATAAGTAAGTTATAATAAAAATAATTATTTAAAATAAAATATTAAAAATAAAATTATAATAAAATAATAAACTATAACAAAAATAAAAAAATAAGTCAAAAGATAGAAAGTAAAAAATTAAAAAGTAAAGTTAAGCTTAACCTTTTAGGTAGAAATGATGGAGTGACTTTAAGAACAATTTCTTGAACCTAAGGATGAGAACTGATTTAAATTCAATAATTTTTGATTTTTTAGTATTCAATGAGATTTTATTTGCTATAAGCCATTAAGCAAGACTGGCCATATCCTGATTAATATATTTATTAAGCTTTTTGAGAGAGTTTGTTATTAATTGTAGATTAGTATCATCAGCAAAATGATACGTTTTTGAATGTTTGATAGAAAGATTGAGATCATTAATATAGATAATAAAGAGAAGAAGATCTAATATGGATCCCTGAGGTATACCAATTGAAACGTTTTTAATATCTGATCTAGTTCCATTTATAGTTACAAACTGTTGACAATCAGTAAGCTATGATTTGAACGTACACCATAATAGTTGCCACGGACACCATAATAGTTAAGCTTTGAGAGGAGAATTTCATGGTCAACGGTGTCAAAAGCTTTTTGCAAAAACCCCACAAGCAAAGTTGCCATTATCAAGAGCAACTCTTATACTTTCTGTTTATTTCAATAAGAGCGAGAGCTGTCAAATACTTTTTACGAAAACCAAACTGGTGTTTATATAAGCAATGATTTTGGTTTAGAAATTTGAATAGTTTATTATGCATAACTTTTTCAAATTTTTTGCTTACATTAGAAAGAAGAGATATTGGGTATATTTAGTGCAGTCAATTGTAGACCCTTTTTTGTGAATCGCAATAATTTGAGCTAGCTTAAAAGCATCGGGAAATGCTCCTTTACGAAATGAATTGTTTAAAATGATACTAATTGGTTTACATAGAGTTCCTAACACTAGTTTAAAAAGTTTTGTTGGAAGAATGTTTGGTCCAACTCTCCTCCCTTCTATAATAGTGGAATTTATATAATCAAGAGTTTTCTCTTTTGTTATTGGTTGCATATAAAAGAGTTGCTAGTAGGATTGGTCAGATACTCATGATAGTTGAATTTAGAATTCGGAATTTCGTACAATAATTTTGAAGCAATCGTGGTAAAGAAGTTATTAAAATGGTTTTAGGATTGGTTTCGCATTTGTTGTTAATGAGTATGCTTGTTAGAAATTTACTATTATTTCGTTTAACATTTATCAACTCTTTTATACTTTTCGATGTGTTTTTTATACTATTATTATTTTAACATCACTGTTGTCTTTTATATGGTCATTCCATTCAACATTTGAAATTTCTTGGATAAATTCAGCTTTTTTAAAAATTTTAAAGCATCGCCTAACAATAGGTTCAGATGAAGTTTTAGTTTTGGTATGTGGAATGTGGAATTAGCATAAACTGAACAAGATGATCAGATATTGAAGCGGTAAGATTGCCTGAAATTATTTCAGAAGAATAAAAATTTAAAAAAAATATTATCATTTATTGTCATTTATTATCATTTATTATTTGTCATTTATTGTGGTTATGCGTGTCGGCTGTATAATAAAAGGAAAAAGAGAATTTGAGACCATTGATTCTAAAAAATAAGATACCTTATTGGAGGTATTGTATTTGAGCAAGTCAAAGTTAAAGTTTCCCATTAGCATAAACTATTTTTTGTCTTAGCTAATTTTCTCAAGAAGTGGATTTAAGTAGTAACCAACGAATTTAGTTGGACACATTGATAAATGACGATATAAACAACCCACTATTAGACTGCTTTTTCTTAAATTTATAACTTCAATAAATGTAGATTTTAGTTCCTTACTTTTAAGCAGGACTAATTCAGATCTAATTTTAAATCATAAGTTAGACTTAATATACATTAAAACACCACCTTTTTTAGCTTTAGTTGGCGTGTGAACAGATACATATCCTTCTAATTCAACGTTAGTTATAGAGAGATCGTTATCGTGCAAGTTAGATTCATTAATCCCAATGATGTCAGGTAAATTTTCAAAAGATGCTAATAGTATTTTAAAGTCGTTAATATGGTAAGGTAATGAAGATATGTTTACATGGAAATAACTTAAAGAATTTTTGGACAATTTATTGTACTTAGGAACATATACATATTCACAGTTAATTGAAGTGGAAGATAAGTCATTGAGGTTAAATTTGTATTTTCAGAAAGATTTTTTACCCCGTTGAATTTCAGTGACTTTTCAGCAAGTATGGTAGATAACTCAAGATCCGAATTGTTAGAGAATGGAAGAAATGTTTTTGTACAGATTAGGCAATACCAAGTATTTAAAGTTTTGACTTTTTCATACGTTTGTTTGTCAATTCGATTGCATTTTATGTCTATCCATTTGTCACATTGGTCACATTGAATTGCTAAATGATTTTTAGCAACCGCCTTAAAGCATATGCCACATGGTTGTTTCACTACCATCATTAAAAAGTAAAATAGTATAAACAAAAGATGCTTGAAAAAGAAGAAATAAAAAAGATATAAAAATAATAATTAAAAATAAGTATAACAATAATAATTAAAAATAAATAACAGTTAAGATATATTTATATATCAAAACTAGATAAAATTAAGTTATTTATACTTCGGTTGTTAGGAAAGTTTGTAGAACTTCCCTATAAAAATAAAAAAAAATAAAAGAGTTTTTTTTAATTCTATTTTATTAAATGTTCAAAATAATGTCTATCATTATCTATACAAAGTTGCATCCTTTCAAGTCATTTGTGAAACGTTTTTTTATACTCTTCTTTGGGTATACTTTCAAGTAGCTTCGTTATGCGGTTTTTTTGGCTTTCGATGTCAGTGTCGTCATCAAGATTTTTTTTTATCAATTCGAATAGCCAATAATCGGATGGAGCTAAGTCTGGTGAGTATGGTGGGTTGCGATCTATTGTAATTTCAGCTTGGTTTAGACAATTTGTGATAGTTTGAGTTACATGGGGTCGAGCGTTATCATGAAGAAATTTGAAGTTGTGAGTGCCCAATTTAGATCTTTGCTTATTTAATTCGCATAAAAGAGGTTTCAAACAATTTTTTAAATAATTTTCGCTAGTAATGGTGTCTCCCTTTTCAACATAACCCAAATGAACAACACCTGTTGTTTTGAAGAAGATGTAGAACATGCTTTTCGGCTGAAACCTATCGCATCTTACTATAGTTCTTGGACTTTCACCTTCACCGACCCAACTAGCGTAGGCTGACTTGTGTCCAACTTGTCTCAAATAAAACCATGACTCATCCCCTGTAATATTATCGCATAGCCTCCATAGACCGTTTCTGAAAAGGGCTAAACTTTCCTTACATGCCTCTACTCTATTCTTTCGATTTTCATCGGTTAACTCGTGGGGTATCCAACGTGATGTTAGTTTTCTTTTTTTAAATGCGTTATGAATGATTTCTTTAATTGTAAAACGATTAATTGATGTCAAGGCTTCAATTATATTATGTATTGCATGCGGATTTTCGTCAATAATGGCTCGCACACGTTCAATATTCTCAGCTGTATACGTGGTTTTAGATTGCCCTGAGCGAGGATCATTCAAAACAAACATTCAAATATTTCAACAAGTACTTAAAATGTTTATAATTAAAAAAAGTTTAAGATGATATATAAATATTTAATTATTTCCTGTCTTATTGTAACTTTATAGATGAAGTTCTACGAACTTCTCTAACGACCTAAGTAAAATAATAAAAAATATATCAACTAACTACGATTAACATAAATGAAAATGATATACAGATAAATTAGAGTAAATAATATATAAATAATAATATAGTTATAGATAATAAATATAGTTATAGATAATAATATAGCTATATACAAATAATTCTAGATTTAACAATATAGCATAATAATATAGTATAATAATATAGTTTAAAGTAAATTAAATATAGTATTTTAAAAAATATAGTAAACAATATAGTTTATCTAATAATAAGTAATATAATAAAAGATAAATTAATAATAAATACAACAACTTGAAAATTAAAATAATATCTTTTTCTTTTTGCCTTTTTCAAAATAACTTTTCTTTTTCTTAGTTTGATTCAAATTTTCGAATATTGCGCTTTATTATTTCTTTCTTTATTCAAATAATGCTTTATTTCTTTCTTTTATTCTTGTCTTTCTTTTTTATTTGTTTACTTTTATTTTATTTTTTTATTTTTTTTTATTTTTAAGTCGTCAAGTTGTTAAGTAAGTCGTTAAGTAAGTCAAGTCGTTAAGTAAGTCTTCGATAGAGCCTCAATAGAGCCGTCAATAGAGCCTCAATAGAGCCTCAATAGAGCCTCAATAGAGTCGTCAATAGAGCCTCAATAGAGCCTCAATAGAGCCTTAATAGAGCCACAATAGAGCCGTCAAGTCGTTAAGTAAGTTGTCATTAGAGCCTGCCAATACTTAAAAAGCAAAAATAAAAAAATACTACTGTTCTATCAATCTATCATACATGTTCTATTTTCATTCAGTTTGTAAATTTTTTATTATAATTATTCACACACTGTAATTTGAATACCTTGTTGAATAGCCTAGCTTTAGATATATCAACTATTCATAATAGTTGATATAATTTTTTTAAAAATCAATTTTTAAAAAAATATATCAACTATTATGAATGAAAATAATTTCTGAAATCAAGATATAATCAAAATACAAAAGGATTTTCGGACCAATTCAAAACCAAAAAGATTTGTTGCTTGTACATTTTTTTTTATATTTGCCAGCACAAAAATTTTAATAAAAAGGCCATAAAAATGAGCACCTTTACAACTCATATTTATTAACTCATTAAAACACTACTGAAATTTGTGTCATTTCTTTGTTTTGACGAAGTATCAGTGTTAAATAAAGTTTTTTCAAATGGAAAGGCGTAAAGCTATATTTAGATTATTCGTTCCTGTTTTTAATAAAGTGCAGATTTTTGATTTTGAAACTTTTATCTGGAAGTTTTGCATTATAGTGTAAATATTTGTGTGCAAGTTTTTTTTTTTTTTTTTTTTTTTTTTTTTTTTTTTTTTTTTTTTTTTTTTTTTTTACTTTTTTGGTTGTTTGTTTAACCATAAAATTAAAGATTAAAATTTTAATTAAAATTTACAAAATAAGGTTCGGTGTCACTTATATAGTTAAGAACTAGTCAATGGAGTTAGTAAAACATACTTATAAAATATAAATATACTAATAAAAGGCTTTATAGATTATTTTCAATATTTTAGAAGTGATAAAATTGGTAAAGCTTTGAGTCAGATTAAAAAAATATGTAAACAAATGAACATAGAATTAATAAAAGAACGAAAAAGAAAAAAGAAGAAAATGCCAGGGGAGTTTGCTAAAGATGAAACCAAAAACTTTGAAACAGTCAAAATCTCATGTCTTGCAGCACTTGATGGTATAACAATCAAATTAACTGAAAGATTTGAAAATCTTATGAATATTGCAGAAGAATTTTAAACTTTTTAACGGCTGAAGCATTTTGGGATATAACAGCTGATCAATTAGAAATCAAGTTGAACTGGTATGCAAAAAACATTTGAATAATGATGAAGAGTAACTAAAACTTGAAGTTAAATGTTTCAAATTCTAAACACTAGCCATTATTCAAGATAAAATTTTTTGTTAAATAAGCCATCTAAAATTGTTAAATGTTTTAAGAGAATGGGAACTGCAAGAGTCATACCCAAAAATGTAAAGAAAATATATCACCTAGTGTATTTATAAATCTTTATAATTTGAAACCTAAAAACAAATATAATCTTCGTGCCTGTAAAAGTATAGAAGAGCCATTTTGCAAAACTAAAATTGACCAGTTTTGTATTTCTTATCGTAGTTCTTCTCTTTGAAATAAAATAATTTTACCTAATTTTGATCTTTCTAAAAAATGGTCTTATCCTTCTTTTAAACGGAAAGTAAAAGAAATTATCTTTTCAACACAAAATATATATATCTATTTTTAGTACCTTAGTTGTAGCTGCTTTTTTTGTTAGGTTTTTTAATTTATACTTTATTTTGTTTATTTTATAGATTGTGAAGAATATTAGAATATTGTATTCTTTTTTGTTATATAGATTGTAAAGAGCTTCATGATAAGATCCTGTGATCCTCTAAGTCTTGCCGGTAACAAATTCAATGTAAATTTACCTTCTACATATTCTGGCAAATAAATAAATAAAAAATAAAATTAAAAAAAAAGTAAATAGAAATAGCTTTAAGATTATTTTTACATTGCCAATAAGGGATTATCCATAAAGTACGTACGCTCGGAGGGAAGAAGGGGGTCTGCAAATAGCGTATATGAGATCGGAGGGCAATGGGTCAATTATAAAAGAAAGAAGACGCTATTATTTAAAAAATATCATAAATTATTAGATAAATAGGTTAAAAGCTTTTTTTAGGGAGGTGGAGAATACTCAAAAAAGCGAATTGCAAAATGAGGAGGGGGGAGGTGACGAAAAAAAAGCGTACGGTTTTTATGGACGACCCCTAACTGTAGCTACGGGTGAAAGAAGTTTTAATAAATTGAAATGAATCAAAAACTATTGACATCTAGCCGAGAACAGACATTTTCATTAGCACTTTTGTCTATTGAAATGGGTTTGACGAGAACAAGAGATTTTGATAATATAATTGAAAATTTCGACAATACTAAGCCAAGGAAAATTAAATCTAATTAAAAGTTTTTTATTTATGTTTTTTTTTTTTGGTAATATAAATAGCTAGTGTACTAAGAGTAAAATTTTATATTTAAAAATATTCATAGCAAAAAAATATTTTTTGAAGTTTTATATGGTTTTTTTCTGCATTTTCTCCCTTTTTTTTTTTTTTTTTTTTAACATGCACATTTTAAAAAATATTTCAAAATTGGCATAAAAGGGCGCCAAATTATGTATTTGCCAAGTGCGCCGAAGGCAGCAGTAGGGTAAAGTGACCGAATTCAACCCAGTAACTAAATTCCAACCAAATTTAAAGCTTCATAATTCTATATTTGTTTCTGCTTTATACCTCATCCATTAAAAAAAAAATATCCGTTTATTTAGTGAGCTTTACAATAGAAGCAACATCACAACAGATATTTATATTACAAAGTGCTAGTTTAGATTTAAAATATCGTGTAAGCACCCCGTTTGATGGTATTAAACATTAAATATTGGTATTAAATATTAAATATGACTTTAAAAAATATTGTTTATTTTAAACTATTGATATTCTTGATTCAAAAGATATTTTTAGCTTTATGGTTACTATGTATTATGGTTACTATGGTTATTATGCCAGTTCTTATGCTTTATGGTAAATATGGAGGTAAAAAAGTTGGAGTGTGTAGGACATTACCAAAAACGAGTTGGTACTTGCTTACGCAAGTTAAAAAAAAATGTTAAGGGTCTAGGTGGTCGTGGTCGACTAACCAATGCAGTTATTGATCGCTTGCAAAAATTTTTTGGTGTAGCTATCCGGAGCAATACAAATGATCTGAATAAAATGAAACAAGCAGTATTAGTTAGCCTTTTCCATGTAGCTTCTTCTAAGGAAAATAACTATCATATTTACTGCCCGACTGGAGGTGATAGTTGGTGTAAGTTTAACATTGATAAAGCAAAGTCTACTTCCATATACAAACCTGGACCAGGAATTCCTGTGGATATTATTCACAAAATCAAGCCAATATATGCTGATTTAAGTAAAGATTCTGAATTAGTAAAGTGTCTTCATGGCAAAACCCAGAATTGCAACGAGAGTTTTAATAATTTAATATGGGATAGATTACCAAAAAGTAATTATGTTGGTTTAGCCAGTTTAGAGTTTGGAGTGTACGATGCTGTTGCAAATTATAACATCGGTATGAAGTCTGTCATTTTAATTTATGAAAAACTAAATATGAAACCAGGGCATTTTACTTTAGCTGGTTGCAGACTCATAAACAAAAAACGAATAAAACTATCATTATTTAAATCGAGTGAAAGTTTTAAGATGAAACGAAAGATGTTACGTCAACGATTATCAAATGATCATCAAAAGTCAATAGAAAAGTCCAAGGAATATTATGAATCTGGTAGTTTTTGAAATATTCTTTTAAAAAGCTATTTTTTTAAAGATATTTTTATGAAATGAACAATAATTTATGATTTTATTTTTTGTTTTGTGTTTTCTGAGAAATTAATTTTTAAACACGCCGGGAAAAAAATCTTGAAAAGTATACATGCTATCATGATGAAATTTTCAGGGATCGTTCATTTTACCAATGTTTATGATATGAGCGGAGTAGAACTTCTCATATGACTTAAGATTTTGAGTTTTTTAGTTTTTTTCTTTGTATTTTGACCTTTTTTTTAATAATCTAATTTGACTGTAGCTTTTTATCAAAAAAAAAATTTTATTTAAAAATCTGCTTTGCTCATATCACAAATGTACATATTTAGAACAGTTCTACAAAATTTCATTGACACTCCTTTACTCATAATTCTTATTTTTTTTACGGCGTAAACACAGTTTTTGTGGGTTTTTTAGCTATTTTTTTGAGTTGCCATAGCAACGAGCTACCATTTTATGTATTTTTTGGTATTTTTAATGTCAGTATAATATTTACTATATGACTAAAGAAAAAGTTACTTTATATGTGTTGTTTTCAAATTTGAGGGTAGTTGCCCCTTAAACTATTTATTTAAAGTAACTATGGTTACTTTAAACGATTTCTATAGATTGTATTTACTGCGCCTGGTAGAAAAAACAAAATCCTGCAAGTTTTTTTTCAATATGTAGATTATAGTTATTACATAAAATTATAATAAAAATTAATCTTGGAAAGAATGTTTCAAAAATTTATCATATAAGGTTTTGCATTTTAAAATGGCTGATCATTAGAAAAAAATAAGATATTGTGATTATCTACTGTAAGCCTTAAAAGAATAAATGTCAACCAACTTGTGGTAGATATATAAAATGGTCAGAGGAAGTACTACTCGAGACTATAAACAGTGTTAATAATTCACCTAAAATTTCTGTTAAAGCTGCTGCTATATTTTTACTAACCTTGTTCATTTACTCCCAAGATTTTGAAGAACTATTAGAAATGTCTATATACACGATATTGAAATTTTCGAATTATCTGCTCATACAGTTTGCGCCAAACGAATAGCACATGCAATAATTTAGTAATAAAAATAGGTGTATGAACGTATTAAATTTAAAACAATAATTAATACATTTTAAACACATTTTAACACAAAAAATAAAATACAATAAAATGGACAATAGTATCTTCTTTTTTTTTGTTTAAACACGTAAAAAACAAAAAAAAAATGAATAAAATGAAAAATTTATTATGTGTCAAACTAATAGCACACATACCATTTTAGCAGGTTTTAGAGATTAAAAAAGCGTAGAAACGTACCTAATAGTCAATCTCCTTACCTTTCTTTATAATAATCTGAATGCAACGCTTAGGCATAGAGGAAAGAAGTGTTTCAAACAAAGATTGGCGGATTATGTTCAATTTCATCTGAATGGTGTTGAATTGTGTTCCATTCCATCTGGAAGGCGTTGACATAAGCAGCATTGACGCAAAGGTTAGAGTTCTGGCTCAGAACCCAGAAGTCTGAGGTTCAATGCCGGATCTAGCCCAATTAGCGACATTGGTAAGGAAGGAGCCGTGAACTTCTAGTTAAATGTTCTCCCGCGGCGCTACGTGATAAGACCGTAAGGACTTCTGGGAGCACCTAAATAACCTAAAAAAAAATGGCTCTTTTCAATTCCGTGACGTTACTGTATTGTTTTCTATTTGCATAGACGTGACGAAACAAATAACCCTAAATGTTTTCAATTGGATTTATGTCAAGTGACAGCGCTGGATGATGACAAACAACTGGATGTCATGTTCTGTTACAAATTTCATAATGGTCTTTGCCGTTGGTATTGATGCGTTATCTTGCATAAAGACAAACATTTTTCCATAGTTAGCATAGGTAATCAGAGAGTGTAATAATAGTCTTCAACTGTTTTTTTTTCTTTCTAAGAACGTTAATTCAAATAATCCAGCTTTAAAAAATGCGCCCCAAATCATGACATTGCTATCACCATTTTATCTAGACAAGAAAGTCTTGGGCACTTTTCGTAAGTCATGGCAATAATATTGATATCCGTCTAGACCATCACGATTAAATTTCTTCTCATCAGACCAAAAAATTGAGCCCTAATCAGGTGGACAAGACAAATGTTTATTCGCATACGCTATACGTTTCTCCATGTGATGTTTCTGCATTGCCAGCGTTGTTTGGCTTCATGTAACGTTCTTTGTATTGTACGCAATGACACATCAATATCCAGCTGGGCGTGTATCAACCGGGAACTACAACGGGTGTTTGAAGCTACTTGTAGCATGTGACGTCTGTCACGCTTGGCTAATTTCAAAGCATTTTGGATGGATTATGTTTTCAAATATGTATCAGGATCCTTCATAATCTTCTCAATCACTATCTCAGACGTTGATACATTGGCAGCCTTGAATGCCTCGATCATAGCAACTTCTTTAGCATTTAACTTAGTTACTCGTCCCATAGTAGTCTTCTGTAACACACATGATTATTTCACATATGATAGCCCTTTGGTCTACATTAATATATGTATTACTTACATAGCGTATGTAATTCGTCTGTTGCAGTCTAATGTTAAACGACTGACGTGTGCAGTCAAATGTTAAATGGCTGGTGTGTCCATTTGTCACAGAAAATATCATATGGTTTATTATATTTTGATGTTTGTCAACAGAAAATATCATACGGTTTACCATATTTTGACGATTTTGGCATCAAAAACGATTTGTTTTTTTATTAATTCTTTACTTATGACTATTTTTAGATATTTAATGTTTAAAACATTATAAAATGAATGAAATATATTATATTTATAGTGTGTGCTGTTTGTTTGGCGCAAACTGTACAAGCAATTGGGACGACTGAATAAGCACAAATTTCATAAGTGCGAACTGGCATAAGTGCGCCGAACAAATTTGCAAATATTGACATAAGTGCGAAGCAGTTACATAAGTGCGAACTGGCATAAGTACGAATTGGCATAAATGCGAAACAGTTACAAAAACTGGCACAAATGCGCCGAATAAAATTGCAAATATTGGCATAAGTGCAAATTGTTATTTTGCACTTATGCAAGTTCGTACTTATGCCAATGTTTGAAAATTTGTTTGGCGCACTTATGCCAGTTCGTAATTATACCAACTTTTGCAACTGCTTCGCACTTATGTCTGTTCGCACTTATACCAATTTGCACTTATGCCAATGTTTGTAAATTTATTCGGCGCACTAATGCCAGTTTCTGTAACTGTTTCGAACTTATGCCAATTTTGCAAATTTGTTCGGCGCAATTATGCCAGTTCTTATGCCAGTTTTTGCAAATGCTTCGTACTTTTTCTAGTTCGTACTTATGCTAATTCACACTAATGCCAATGTTTCCAAATTTTTTGGCGCACTTATGGCAGTTCGTACTTGTGCGAGTTTTTGCAATGCTTTGCACTTATGCCAATTCACGCTTATTCGGCCTCCCGTGCAATTGGTTTTAAAGTTTCAACACCATAAGCTTCTGTGTTTGTAAAAACTATACTTTAGCCTCAAATTTAAAATTCATCTTACTTATTAGATTTTATTCAAATAATTTAAAATATTGTAGATTATTTTTTCTGACCCATAAAATAATATTAATTTTGAGTTGAAAAAAACATTAAATTATTTTTAACTTTAATTTGAAAATTCTAAACAGCTAAAAAGTTTGATATTAATTATAACGCTGGCATATAAATTTGTGAACCCGCTTCAAACACGCATATAATTATAATTAGATGAATGTAATTGTATACAATTAAAGTTAATAATTAAATATGATCTAAATATTAATTGCAGTTTAACGTCTACGGTTTTACACTTTTGTGAAATATATTATCAGGCATGATAAGAAAAAGGGAGTGAAACGTACTTATATTGAGAGAACAGCTACAGCTACATTCAGAGAGAACAGAAAATAGGAAAAATTTTAAACAAAACATTAACACCTTTTACCTGTCTCTTTTTGGGCATGCGTTTTAAAATGTAAGCGAAGCAACCTGTCGACATTTTATCTATCTTTTTAAACGGCAGTATTGACATTGACATATAATAAGTTCCTATCAAAAATGTTAAAACACCCCGTGTTTTTATTTCTATTCAACAAAGTATCTCCTGTCACCACGTGTATACATTTTTCTGATCATGCCCATAATCAAGGCGGTTCAAGACAACACGTGAACACGTTTTTAAGTTTAGACAACCACAGCATGCAATTTTATTTTATGATGAATGAAAGTAAAGCAATAGTTTAGTTGTGATATTTACAAAAATGTTTAAAAATTTCAATAAATGTCAAGACTATTTCACTTATTGTTTTAACTGTTTTAAGCCGAATAATATGTTGAGCTAAAAAATTATTACTTTAATTTATTAGTTATCCAAATCAATTTTTAATATTTTGAATGCTAACTCATAGAAGTATTGGTAAAGGTTTTTTTTATTCTGGCTGCAATTAGGTTTATTTTGCATACGTTTGGCTTATAGTGTTGATTATAAATGATTATAGTGTTGTGGTTATAGTTATTGTATTTTGGTCTATACGTATGCTTTTCCTTATCTTTGTTTTTCCAAACAGTTTTCATTTATAAAAAACTGTTATAATTATTGTCCTTAATGGTTTATCTTTTTATTTATTATAATCTTTTTTAGAAACTTTCATAAAAGCCTTTTTGTTAATAAGTATCTAGTAACAAAATTGTAAAAATGCAGTTTGAATTCGGTTACTTTACCCTACAAAAGTAATTTTGAAACATTAACTTATTGGGAAAATTTGGGTTCTATAAGTTCAAAAAAGTGCTAACAGAGTGTGATATTTATAAATAAATACTTTTGAAGTGGTGTTTTCAAAACGGCTTATTTATGAGTAAAGAACTTAGATGCATCGAAATCAAAAGTTAATTGCTTATTTAGCTTGGCTTTGGTTGGTTTGGTTGGCTTTGTTTGGCCTTTTCACTTAAATAGAACATAGCATCAACTTCAGCAGGAATCGGTGAACATGCTGATCGAGGCGGAAGCTAAACAAAAGTTATGAGAATAAAATTTAACAAAATAAAAAAGCAAATAAAAAGCAAAAAATAAACAGATTGACCACTCACAAGGGCACAAATAGAATCGGCATCTTTATGACTGATTTTAAACGGAGAACTTTCTAAAGTAACGTTTTCACTATAAGAAAATAATCAAAATGTAACGGATAATAAAAAAAACATAAATCAATATTTGCAAAAAATAATCAAAACAAACCAGCATAGGTAAAAATAGAACCAAATTTTTTACCAAATTATTAAGGATTTGCCAAGTTTTTTTCAAAATTTTTTATGAATTCTGTTTAAAAATTAATTTTCTCTTATGGAAACTTTTAATTTATGAATTCTGTAATAAAAAAATGGATCAAAACCTTTTAGTAATTTGTGATTAAAAATTTAATAAATTAGAATTTTGGATTGGATATTTTAAATCCTCTTCAACCAACGAAAAAGTAAACAAAAAACAGCTTTTCGAAACAACAGCAAAAAAAATTTTGAAATTTTTCCCTTATGGTCAACTTAAAAAAGATTAAGTGATGTTTTAATTAAAAACAAAATCAAGTTTTAAAATTGATGTTAAAACGGTTTAAATTAAAACCAATTTTTTACTTACACACACCTTTTTTCTTAACTAAAAGTACTTTAAGCTAAAATCAAGTATTTATTGAGTATATAAGAAAAACTAAAAATGACTAACCATGCAATGTTCGTAACATTTTTAATTTTGTTTGTAACTAATTCTTCCCATCTACAATGTGTTTGCAAGACAATCTCAGTGGCAAACTCCTTATGCTTAGCTTCACCGTTAAAAGCAAACTTATTTGGGGGATCTCCACCAGGCATTTTATATATTTTAAACCACTCTACTGTAGCCTGTAAAAAAAAAAAATCAGTAAAATAAATAAAAAATTGTACATATTTTTTTTTCTTTTACAGAAAAATATAAAATCATTACTTCAAGTAAACCAGGCATCACTTCTTTTACGTCATCAATATCTATAATATTAAATATCACCATTACCTATATCATATTAAAAATTATCATTATCTATATCATATTAAATATTATCATTATCTATATCATATTAAATATTATCAGCAAAATCATATTAAATATCATAATTATCTAAAATATTAAATATCATCATTAGAGATGTCAATTTTCAGTGACTATATGGTATACGCTCTGTTCGGCTACTTTTTATACTATTCGGCATTTTCTTTGCGCAGCACAATCATGGTGGGCTAGTACTGGATAAAAGCAGCAGAGGTTGGGAAAGAGAAAAACATATTGGATAAACAGAATCGCTTAAACTAACACTGGGTATGACACCAGCAGTGCATTAGTAACTACATGCTATAATAATTCGCAAATGTACATATCATACTAATGCACTATTAGCACATTTATGATTGATGCTAAAGGACAAAAATAAAGGCTGGTGTTGATTTATAAGCCCATTGAGGACAGAGGGACATCTTTTCCTTGTCTATTAAAATATGCATACATCTACACCTACGCATATGTTTTCACATGCATTAAAAATATTTTCGAATTTGAAAATCTTACATTAATATAAGTTTATTCTTTAAAATAATAATGTTATTTGACCAATCCCTCAAATTTTTAAATAAAGCAACTTGTAAACTATAATTAAATAATTATTTTAGTTTTTTATGGTACTTATTAAAAAACATGTACACATATGCAATTTTATGTATTAAAGTCAAGCAAATTTCTGGGTATATTTTCTGGTAAATCTTTCAACATACCATTAAGCTTTGAAGCCAAAGGATCATTTACATCAATTGCAATTACTTTCCAATCTGTTTCACGATAGTCAACCATAGCTAAAACACCCAGCAACTTAACTTGTAAAACAGATCCTCTTTCTGCAACCTATATATGAATAAAAATCATTAAATATTCTTTTTTTAAATGTGTTAAACATATATATAATCAGTGCCATCACGAGAGAGGACATAGGGGGTGTCTAGCCCCCCTACAAATTTAAGTCAGCAAATCGGGCAGTGTAGTTGGCAAAATTGTATAATACAATTTAAACAACACTAAAATTTAGCTTAAGAGACCTTGGGGGGGAATAAAGTCAAAAATTAGAATAAGATTTTTCAGAAATGAAAGGCATTTTCCAAACCACCATGCGCATCCCAGACTAAGATTTTAAAATAATGATTAAATTTGAAGAAGTAAAATGGACTTGAAATCCTAAAAATGTTATGCAGTTTTAAAGCTGTAAAGTTAAGTATAGTTAAACAACACTATGTAAAAACTGGAACAATCTCCCTACCCAACTAAAATCTCTTACATCATTCTCGAAATTTAATTTCTCTTTAACAATTTTTAGGAAAATTATTGTTTATAAATCTTCAATTTCTCTTTAACCATTTTTAAGAAAATTATTGTTTATAAATCTTATACCTTTCGAAAACTTATTATTTATAACCCTAACTTTGAGCTTCTATTTATCTAATATTTTTTATCTTTCCTGTTGTATTATAATACTAATTTTAATATCTTTTGTTAAATTTATTAAATCTTTCTTAAACTGAAATATTTTCATTAGTATTCTCTGCATCACTATTACTTTTATTATTATTGTTATTATTACTATATTTTTTATCAAATTAAATATTATTCTTACTGTTGTTATTATTGTTAAAACAGTTTTATATTGTTGTTTTTGCTATATTGTTGTTGTTATTATTGTTATTATTATTATTTTTATTGTTGTTATTATTATTATTATAGTATATAATTATTATAATTGCTACTGTTATTTTTAATTACAACTATTATTTTTATTATTTTTAATTACTATTATTTTTATTATTTTTACTTGTATTGTAATTATAATTATTATCTCCATTTTATTATCATTGAATTTGACAGGTGATTACTTCATATTACTACTTATTACTATTTGTAAATATCCTTGATGTAACATTTTTATTCAAAATATATTTGATTTGATTTGAATTGTAACATAAACTTTGCAACTTGTTTCCTAGTGTTATATTTTATTCACTCAAGTCTATGGAAAAACAACTATATTTAACAAACTTTGATTTTACAAACACACCCCAGAAAAATATTTTATTTATTGTAACAAAACAAGTTAAAAACTAAAATACTTTGTGGAGCAAAAGCAAAACTTTGTAAAATACCTACTTTGTGGAGCTACAGTAATAATAAGACTTTTTAAAAATATGTTTTGCAGACATCAGTTAAGAATAGAATAAAGAAAAACATTTGCTAATATATATAATCTTCTTTTTACAAAAAGCGGAAAATAACCTTTTTAATTTAATAACCTAAAAATTGACAGGTCTGCACAATTCGATTCATTTTGAAACAGACCTGTCAATCTTTAGTTTACTGAATTGTTAAATTAAAAGTTTATTTAACACTTTTTAGTAAAAAAATGATTACATTTTTTAGCAAATGTTTTTACAACATTTTCTATTAGTCTTTACAATGAGTTACAGTATTTAACAATGCAAATTATTTTTATGTAGGATTGTTATTATTTAATAGTGTTTTGAATACAAAAAATAAGAGGAAGAAATGTGATTAAGTTCCTAAATAGCAAATAACATTAGTGCACTATTGGTAGAATATTTATCTTAATATTGGCTTAATGTTATTAACAATATTACATCAATATAAAATGTCCACATTTTTATATTATATATAAAATGTCCACATTTTTATATTATATATAAAATGTCCACATTTTTATATTATATATAAAATGTCCACATTTTTATATTATATATAAAATGTCCACATTTTTATATTATATATAAAATGTCCACATTTTTATATTATATATAAAATGTCCACATTTTTATATTATATATAAAATGTCCACATTTTTATATTATATATAAAATGTCCACATTTTTATATTATATATAAAATGTCCACATTTTTATATTATATATAAAATGTCCACATTTTTATATTATATATAAAATGTCCACATTTTTATACTATATATAAAATGTCCACATTTTTATACTATATAAAAAAATGTCCACATTTTTATATTATATATAAAATATCCACATTTTTATATATATAAAGCAAATATTAATTTGAGAAATAAGACAAATTTTTTCCCACCTATTATAATAAGAAAAAAAAATCAAAACATGCATTGTTATTTTGTTTGTTAAAAAAATGGTTTTTTTAATTAAGTGGAAACAAATTGTCTTATTTCTTAATTGTTTAATTTATCGTTTTAGAAAAATATTGCAAAATTTATTTCTATCAAAAAAAAACTGTATAATTGAATGTCAGGTTATACGAATTAATTTCTTGCTGAACTAAGTTATTTCAAAAATTAGAACATCTAAATCAACTGATTCAATAAAGGATTCGTTAAAATTTATTTGTGTTGTTTAAACCATATACAAAATAAGACTAATTCTCAATAAGCGTTTTAATAACTTTAAACCAATTATATATCTTTTGATTTGAATAATAATCTAATATAATAAATATCCAGTATTTTTATAACTGGATAAATATCCAGTATTTTTGGATAAGTATTTTTGGATTTTATAACGGGATAAATATCCAGTAATAAATATCCAGTATTTTTATAACTGTCCTACATATTCATGTAGGACAGTTATAAAAATGTATTTCTTGGAAATTTTTTTAACCTTAATTGTAAAACCCCCTAATCAGCTACAATAAATTTTTTTTTACATGTTCCTTTAAAATTTAAAAGAACTATAGATTAACCTAAAAGTTAAAATTTTCTCGAGATTTTTTTTTTTTTAATTCTGATTTATTCCCAACAAGCTGCAAGCAACCACTATTAAGTTGGGAGTTACTAGAAAAAAAAGAATAGAGTTAAAGAGCAAAGAAACATTTGACAGAGACTTAAAAAGCAGCGACCATGATAGTATTTGTAGAAAAGAAAAGAGATGGGACAACGACAATGGGAGAGAAACTCACGTTTAAGAGATATAGAGAGGGTCAAACTACATTTACAATGCGGTTTTGGATCTTGTATAAAAGAGAAAGAGCACCATTAGAAGAACCAGCCCAAATATGACAACAATAATCCATACAGGGGCAAAATAAGAGATTTGCAGACGTCAAGAATGGTAGAGAGTGAGAAAATGTCAAGCACAACAAAGAAAAGCAACCTTAGCAGATGCTATCTTAGCAATTGATTGTATAAATGGTTTCAATGAGAGGTCGGTAACGAACCATAATCTAAGAAGACATAAAAAAAGACAACTTAGTAAGAGGGTTACCATTCATTAATATAGGAATGTAAACAGTATAGTGATAGTTGTTTGCAGTAAATAACTGGGTTTTGTTGAAGTTAAAATTAATAACCTACTGCAAGCCCTAATCTGTCACAGAAGTGCGATCAGATTCAAGATCGGCTGCTTATTCTAAGCAATTGAAAAGAGAATACTTTTTGTTAAGAAAGGAAAAAAAATCATCAGTCATCAGCAAATAGAGGCACTTTAGATGTAAGGTTGTCATGAAGATCATTAATGTAGATAAAAAACAAACAGGACCAAGGATAGAACCTTAAGGTACCCCAGAAGTTACTGGAAATAAAGAAGACTAAAGGCCTTTGAGGATGACTTTAATAAAGTGGTTAGAAAGAAATGATTTGATAATTTAAAAAACTTTCCCAAATACACCATAAGCAAGCTTATGGAGAAGACCAGCATGCCAAACTTTGTCAAAAGCTATAGATATGTCAAGAGCAATAGCCCTAGCCTCACCACCTCCATCTAATGAACAATAAAATCTTTCAGCCACAGCAGTTAGCAAATCAGCTGAAGAGAGAGAGGATCAAAAACTGTATTGGTTGTCTGACAGTTACTTGACTCAAGATGGGATGTTAAAATGTTTTTGATCATAGAAAAATGAGACTTTGTAAATATTATAAACATTCCTAGAATTCTGATGCACTAAGAACTTTGTTAACATTGCTTTTAAAGAATCTGGTGTACTAAGAATTTTGTAAACACCACTATCATAAATATTCTAAGAAATCTGGAGAGAGGTATTGTCGTAAAGATGAGCTATGCAAAGGTCCTCACAATTCTTAAAAAGATAAAGAGCATATGGATTTTATAGCCTGAGGAAAGAGCATCAGAATTTATGTGCTGATTTAAAAGAAAAATCAATTTTCAAACAATAAAATTTTTTTCTTTTATCTCTTGAAGATAGAATTAAAACATGTAATTATGTAAATACTTTATTTCTTTTAATGAAACAATACTTTTTATGAAACAAGTATATGAATAATTTTGAATTTTTTCAACTGAAAAGAAATAAATCAAATATTAAGAAAATTTATAAAATAGTAATAAAAAATTACTTTGTAACCGATCTCTATGATATCAACAGGATCACCATCACCAAATGAATTTGTGTGCTCATCAACAAGATTTGGATCCTGCCAAGTCTAAAAAGAATTTAGGTATATTTTTATCTAAACAAGTACAAGCTACTTTTTGTTTGTGAATTTTACTTCAATGTTGATGAGAAAATAAGTTTTAGCAAAACAGAATTGTCCTTTATATTGCTCATTAACCCAGATGGTTTACCACATATACCACTAATTCATTTGACATACATCAATATTAATGAGCATTTCACTATAAAAAAATTATGCTGAATTTATTTTTACAAAAATTAATAAAAATTATGCCTGCGGCAAAGCTCCATAATTCCATGGAAAACCTTTATAAGGGAACACATTTTTTACAAATCGAACTACTCCATTTTTTGTATCTTGTTTAATTGGGTTAAGTTTACTTTTAGTACAAATCTAAATAGAAAAAAAATCAGTTAATTTTTGAAAGTTTCTTCATGTTTAAAAAAAAAAATTTAATTAACCTCCATTTTTGCATTAGTCCATCTTGGAATTTCTACAACCATATTGTAAACATTATTCTAAAATGATTTAGTTAAAACCATTTTACCAAATTTTTAAAAGATATATACTTATCTTCCCTATTCTGAAAGAGGTTCCGCTTTAAATAAATTAGGTAGCTACTTTCAATAATTATCATTCTTTACATA